TCAGGGTCTGCTCTCACGAATCCACGGCACCCCGCGACCCGAGTGTATGTCTTGTCCATATATCACATTTTGACCAGTTTGCTGACTGTCTTCACAGACCCTGCTCTCTTGCAGCAGGTTGAGATTCCCATCCGCAAGGAGATTGAGCAGGTCGGCGAGCTGTCCAAGCTTGCCTCCAACCACCCTTACTACAAGTATGTCTGCACGCACTTTTCACGGCATGGCATCGTGTATCTGACCCAACTTCCAGGTACAACTATAGGTGGACCCACAAAATTCAAGATGTTATCTCGACCGTTCTCCTGACAGCCTGGATTGGAGGTATGGCTACCGAGACGTCTGCGGGCGAGCTTGGCCGTCTCTTGACGCTCGAGCAGGTTGGCGACATATTTCAAGGTCGGTCTCTCCTCCCTGCCGAGCCTTCAGCTCCGATACTGACCCCTACCCTTCAGTGCCCGTGAACCTCAAGGACCGCGATGCCTTCCACATCACGACAGAGGAGTACCTGCTCGCCGTCACTAACCTTACTGACGAGCTAAGCCGCTTGGCCGTCAACGCAGTCACCCTAGGCGACCGTGAGCTGGCCGTCCGTATCAGCGCCTTCGTCAAGGACATCCATGCCGGCTTCCAGCTTCTGAACCTGAAGAACGACATTCTCCGCAAGCGGGTTGATAGTGTCAAGTACCATGTGAAGAAGGTCGAGGATGTTGTGTATGATCTAACTCTACGGAACTTGATTCCTGTGAAGGAGCAGTGAGCGTAGCTAGGGTAGGAAGGAGGCTCATGATGAGATTGGTAGCTACAGGATATCCTCGTCCCCTGCTCGTGAATCTTGAGATGCAGTGTATACGGGCCCTCAAAAACAATCTACGAAGACATCAGGTCCCCTTTCCGTTCCACTGACCATTGGCTCCCCGTTTTCATCGACCACAATCAGGGGTTGAGGTGCATAAGGAGGGTTGGGGTTAATGCAGACATCGTATTGTGGGGCCGCCCTCGCCGAGGGACGTGATCCTTAACTTTTAAAGGTCACTCGTTGTCCAGATTTTGTACCTCGTCTTCCCTCTTCAGTCTGCTCTTTTTCGCCCAACATGCCGCTCATAGATCCGGTAACGATGTCATCCTCAATATCAAAGGCCACCAAAGCTCAATCCGGCTCCTCAACCCCGAAAGATAGCTCGAATGTCTCCCAATCGCAAACGCAACTTCAACCCACCCAGACCCTTCCCACACCCGCAGCGCAGACAGCCCGCCATGCTCTCCCAGCGATACAAGCAGCGCTATTTATCTTCCGCTTCAAGGCCCTGGTTGCGAACCCCGTTTCAACAATGTGGAGCACCCTGCCGTTCGTGGCCCTGATACAAGCGGCCTACGCCCTCATCTGTCTACCAGTCGCAGGGTCGGCAAGGCCCAGTAGGAAACCCCGGCCCGGGGAGAAGAAGAAGGACGGTGGAGGGCCCAATGTCTTTGTCGTATGTGTCAGACTACCTGCCTCTTACTGTGAACAGCTTCAGCTTACCAAATGCGCCAGGCCGTACTCCTCTCGCTTTTACTCTCTGTCTCGATAACGCCCTTCTTCCACCTTGCTATGATCCTCTTCGGCGCACCGCTTCTCACTCACCTACAACACACTCTCCTATGTGCCGCACATCTCTCGGTCCTCACATTATTTCCGCTCTTCTACATCCACGGTGTCGATCCGGCCGCTTGGCTTGCCGTAGCCGGGTTTCGAGCTCCGTTCGACGAGCCGTTTAGCGGACTCGTAGGCGGCGTAGTCGGTGCATGGCTCGGAGCTGTGCCGATACCCCTTGACTGGGATAGAGAGTGGCAGAAGTGGCCAGTTACGATTCTCTGTGGTGCATATCTGGGGTATCTCATCGGCAAACTCCTGGGCGGGACGTTGGTATTTGGGAAGCGGTTTTGAGGTCAGCAGTGTGAGATGGATAGAGCATGAAACAGAGCCAAGCAGGCCATACTAGGGCTGGTGCGCCATCCGCCTGTTTGGGCACAGGCAAATAATCATTGCGATCGAGTCATTCTCGACTGTGTCTCGAGCTCGTTCACAAGTGCCTCGCCACCAAGAGGGATCGCTAGGCGGTACTGAGTATCATCACAGAGCAATCCGCCTTCTTGGAAACACTAGGTAGACCAGGCTTCTTCTTTGCCGTCTACGTCAGGGGAAAGATCAGGGGAAAGAAGGAATCGAGTAATGGTGCTGCTGGCCTCTCCAACATTATGATGATTCTTGCACGGCACGAGAAAGCACCTTACTAGATTCACTTCATCCTAACTAGATACCCCGGCCAACCGTTTGTGTCTGATCCCTAGCCTAGGTCTACCTATTCAATATATAGACGCATTCAGGGCTCACTCGATGGTCACGTACATATAAATAAACCCCGCTATCGCCGTGTACGGACAGCTTTCGATGTCAGTGGGGCAGCGTTACCGATCTTCAAGGATCCAAAAAGTCGCTGGATCGACCACCCTGTCAAGCTATCCTGCAAGTGCTGAGTCACAAATGCATAGTGCGGACGAGTCTCCAGGGTTCGCGATGATGCTGACCAGCTCCTGAGTCTTGTGTTTATCCTACTTTTCCGTCCTCAAGCCAGAGAGAGACCCCAATGGCTTCAGACGAGGCAATCCCGGCCGCTCCGGCCTCGGCGCCAGCTGCGGCGCTGAAGAGAGACAACAAGAACTACAAGGGATTCGTCGCAGGCGTCTTCTCCGGCATAGCCAAGCTATCAGGTACGGCCCTCGGGCCCCTCCACATACATGATTTCACGCTCACGATTTCCCAGTCGGCCACCCCTTCGACACAATAAAAGTCCGGCTCCAGACCTCGTCGCTGTCGCGCTTCTCCGGCCCGCTACAATGCCTCACCCAGACCGTCCGCAACGAAGGCCTGCGCGGTCTCTACAAAGGCGCAACCCCTCCTCTCGTAGGTTGGATGTTCATGGATAGCGTCATGCTCGGCTCCCTCACAGTCTACCGCCGCCTCCTCCGCGACAACCTGTTCAACCCACCCGGTCACCCCCTGCACGATCCCCGGCGTCCCCTTCCGTCCCACGGCCACGGCCTCGCGGGCATACTGGCCGGCAGTACAGTCTCCATGATCGCCGCCCCGGTGGAGCACGTCAAGGCGCGACTGCAGATCCAGTAATTTTACCAATATTACCTAAATCTTCTTTGAATTATACTTATATTGTATATAGATACGCGGCCAACAAGGCTGATAGGCTGTACAAGGGCCCCGTCGACTGCGTGCGCAAGATCTACTCCGCGCACGGGATATCCGGCGTGTACCACGGCCTCAGCGCGACGCTGCTGTTCAGGAGCTTCTTCTTCTTCTGGTGGGGCAGCTACGACGTTTTCAGCCGCTGGATGCGCCAGAACACGGCCATGTCGGCGCCGGCCATCAACTTCTGGGCCGGCGGGCTGAGCGCCCAGGTCTTCTGGCTGACGAGCTACCCGTCCGACGTGGTCAAGCAGCGCATCATGACGGACCCGCTCGGGGGCGCGCTGAAGGACGGGACGAGGAGATTCCCGCGGTGGAGGGATGCCGCCGTGGCTGTATATCGGGAGCAGGGGGTTAGGGGTTACTGGAGGGGTTTTCTGCCTTGCTTTTTGAGGGCGTTCCCGGCCAATGCGATGGCGTTGCTGGCTTTCGAAGGGGTTATGAGAGCGTTGCCTGAGTGAGCCAGGGGATGGGAGTGCGATGCAGGGTTGTGAACTGATGTCAGTAACGCTGTCTGAGCAGGGTTGTTTGGAAAATGGCAAGCGAGAAACCCCTTGCACGGATAGAATGTAGAGTCACATGTACGATTTGGTCAGGCATATATAGATACCCATAGATCACGGCGGAGGGACAGTTCTTGGTTTCGCCGTCGACAGAACGGCGTTGGAGAGAATCTCCCCTTTTGATTTTTCCCAGGTCGCGGTGCAGTACAATGCAGTACGCACAGCCAGTCTATCCTTTTGAATGCCGTCCTCCCAGTAATGACCTGCCAGACTCCATCCAGATCCCGGTGGTGATTCCTTACTCGTCGTCCTCCTCGGCGTCGTCGTTGACGACGTTGAAGAACTTGAGCTCGTACACTCCCTTAGAGGTGGAGACGACACGGAGCCAGTCACGGAGCTGCTGCTTCTTCAGGAACTTCTTGGTGCTGTACAGTCGCTGTTAGCATCGTGTTCCTCTGGGAGTTCTTCAATCTGGGAATGCGAAGGGCTACTGACAGGTACTTGAGGTAGCGGCCGGACAGCTCGTTGTGGGCGATGATCTCGACCTTGCCGTCACCCTGCTGGGAGATCTTGATGGTCTCGCCGAGGTTGCCGACGCGGCCTTCAACCTTGATCTTCTCGTTCAGGAACTTCTCGAAGGCCGAGACGTCGAAGATCTTGTCGCTGGCGGGCTGCGAGGCGTTGATGACGAACTGGAGACACCAAGTCAGCGACGAACATTCGGGAACGGAATTTGGATTGACTGACCTTCTTGGTCACCTTGGGGCCCTTGGCCTTGGCGCCAGACTTCTTCTATACACACACATGAACCTTAGCCTACTGTTTCACGCCATGATCGCTCAGGCAACTTGTGCTGAGGGACTGGGCCAACAGCAAAGCGGTGGTGTCATATACATACTGCGATGGGAGCCATTGCTTCGTTTGTGGGATTGAGACGCAAAGAAGTTGATATCCTACGTCTGGCTGGTGAGCTTGAGGTCGAGAGTTGGTGGTTGTCGAGAACTGCGGTCTTGAAATATCGGCCTGTGGGTGTCGAATTGTCGCGAAATTTTAGGGTTCGGCAAAAGATTATTGCGGACAGTTCTCCGCTTTACCCCACCTGCATCGAGACCCAGAGTCTGCAATTCCTCTAGGCTTCAAGCTTGTCTTTATCATCACGAAGCCCTTTGAAAGGCTTTACTCTACGGTTTCTTTTGGACAAGATAGAGAAAAAAGATCAGTAGACTTCATAACAAGAGCTATAAGCAGCAAAAAAATCTCTCCTCCTATAAGGCTCGAACTTATGACCTCCTGATTTGCGTTCGCCCGAAGGCGCTAACAGTCAGACGCTCTAGCCAACTGAGCTAAGGGGGAGGAGATGAACATTGGTCTTGCTATTATGCTTTGTGTATTGGCGGCTCGGGGCCGTGGACTTGTTACATTAGTCTCACCCCGCTGAGTTATACTGGAGCGAAAAGAAAGTGTTACATATATTTGAGTACACCGTCAGGTTTACAACTAACTATTTTAGGAGGAAATATCACTCGGTTACAGGCTTCTCTGTTTGGTTACGGCTTCTCGAGAGCTTGTCTTCAGATGAAGTCTACTTTGGGTCAATGGAGAAGAACGTCTGTCAAATGTGTCAGCCGCAAGAGAAAGAGTGCAGAATTAGAAGATAACGCTAACAATAGTCCCATGCTAGGCACATAGAACCGATGGTTAGAGGTAGTGAGGGTACTGAATGTGATGCAGGTTTCTCAGCTGCATTGACCTGGTACCCAGCGTGAGGAACTTCCACCACGGACAGCGAATGGTACAAAACGCGGAGAAAGCCGATATACATACCACTAGGTGCCTAGACTTCTCAAGGAAGGCACCTGCGACGTACATACAAGATCCCAGCTGCATGCAAGTGAGAGGATGAATCACAAACAAAGTGATCGAGCGTCCTGTCGACGTTGCAGTTGCTGCGGCCGACGGGTTAGCCCGCTTGAAGCGCTATACTATATGTGAACGGACAACGCTCTTTGGTGCTTCAACCGCTTTCTACCGGACCGCCATCTCCGTGCCCGCGCTGGAAATATATGACATGGCTAGGAGCGTCTTCAGCTCACCCCTTTCCAAGTTTGAGGCGCAACCCAATGCTGGCTATTGGACGCCAGCAATTATGGCGATACCCTCCACCGAGTTTGAAGATGGTTCCAGACCACGTCCGCGCGCAACCACAACATGGTCAGCCAGCCTTGACGGCAATTGCCCTCGAATGAACATCGTAACCAATACACCGGTGCCTCAAGAGGCGTACATGTATAGCATGCGTCTACCTTTCAGCCAGCCTACTGTCCTGATGCTATCGTGAGCTTCATATCGCCTCAGTCTGTCAACTCCTCGAACTATGCGAGACGCAGGTCTACATCTGCATCGCCTGGGATGCATGCCAATTCCTTCTTGAAGACACAGCTGAATCGTCAGCGAGCGGGTATTGTCCAGCGCACGATGTGCCACCAGGATGTGCAAATGCTTTGAACCTATATGCCCTCATCGTCTATAAATATGACCGTCATCTGCCTCTGGAGCCAGATCTCTCACCACTCTGCATCATTTGTCATATCCCAGGCAGCCGACTAGCCATCGCATCACCTGTTGATCCTTCTTTCTTGTGCCCTCTTCTGTCTATCCGAAATGTCTACTCAGATTCGTCTCGGAAAGGGATGGGAGAAGCAGCCGGTCGACGACAGAGACTTGATTTACTCGCCACCAGCCGGTCTCCATATCAAGTCCTCCGTTGACCTGCGCGACACCCACCATATGCAGCGCGAGCCCTATCAACAGGGTAGCCTGGGTAGCTGCACGGCCAACGCCATCGCCTCCGCCCTCCAACACGGCAAGCTAGCTGAGGCTTGGGGCCCCCGGAACGTGCCGTACCTCCCGTCGCGCCTCTTCATATGGTACCACGAGCACGTTCTTAACGTCACGGACAGTATCGCCCCTCCCGCAGACGAGCTCGCCGAGGTGCTGTATACCAACAAGCGTACGACTCTGACCATCACGGACCAGAACGGAAAGCAGAAGACGGTCACCCGGGACGCCATCCTCCAGGAAGTCAAGTCCAATACTGGCGCCTTCATCCGTGATGGCTTCAAGACTGTGATCAAGTACGGTTTCTGTTCAGAGACAACCTGGCCGTACAACGAGAAAGACTTCTGGACGGTTCCGGAGAAAGCCTTGCAGGAGGCCAAGACGTTCGCCGCACCGGAATTCACATACTGGCGCATCCCCGACTACCAGACTGACGGTGTCCACAAAGCAGACGTGATTCCGCAGATGGAAGCTGCCCTTTCGGAGGGTTATGCCATCGTCTTCGCCTTCTCGGGCTCCAATATCAGCGCTGACCTTGGTCTTACTGAGGCCGGCGTCAGCATCGGCCTAGACGACAAGTTCGTCTACAAGGGCTGGATCAAGGACGGAGAATCGCGGGAAGATATCTGGGGTCATGCGGTGCTCTGTGTCGGCTATCACCACAAAAACCAGCAGTTCTTGATCTTGAACTCGTGGGGTCCTAAATTCGGAAACAAGGGGTACTTTTATATGCCGTATCGCTGGTTCGATGCTAAGGAGGGCATCTTTACCACCAGCCAGGGCGACAAGTGGGCGCGCACGAACGACCTTTGGGTGCTCAAGAGTCCTCGACAAGCCCCAGGAACAGCTGGATCCGATGTCACTCGTGAGACTTCACTGAACAAGTAGGCAGCGTGGCGATAAGTCAGTACACAATACGAGTATCATCTCAGTTTTGCCATTCCAGTTAGTCATAGCGGTAGTCGTGATAATAGAGCACGTGCTTCACAAATGGGATCTCATTTATACCTTCCAAGCCACATCCCAGCCTCGTTCGGCTAGACATGATCAACGACGCCTGTGGCCGCCTACCTCTCAATTAGCTAGCTCGCGAATTATGAGGCGATTCATGGTACTTGACAATGCCGGCACAAAGTCAGAAGGAATCGCCCTGCTAAAACCAGGAGAAAGCTGCACAAACAATTGCAATAATAGTGTAAACGACATCAATGACAAGATACACTTTACGCACACGTCAAGGCTACGACATCGATACATGTATTGCAATCTTGCCGGCAGTCACGGCATGTTACAGCCACTTGGTCATCTGACAGAGTCCACTATCCCAGAAATCAGGTTCTTGGCAGCGGGAGCCAAGCAACCCAGCCACAGTCGCAAGCTCGCGCCACGTACGCCACAGCGATCGGCGGGGCTAGTGAGGCGTCCTTGGAGTGCCGGACCTTGCGGCAATCGCTTGTCTGCAATGACGTAGACACATTCAACAAAACTTTTGCAGACCAATGCTAAAGACGCAAGCGTCTTGGAAAGCTACAGTGCACCTACCTACCTACCTTGTACAAGGCGTTCTCGTGGCACAGGACGCGCAATGAGGCTGGGCAGTCTCCTGCGGCTCTAAGTTACCGAGGGGAACTTTCCGTTGTCAGCGTATTCCGGGCCTTATACCTTGGTTCCCTCCGCCGCTTACCGTAGAATTCTAAGCAAAGTAAATGCCCGAACTCCCGGCTGGACAGGAGAGACATGAAAAGGAAAGTTCGTCGAAGATTCGAGCTTTCAGCTGAGCCAGGTGGACTCCGCCTGTACCAGACTAGCAAGCAAATAATGTCCACGTGTAGAGTCCAGGTACGAACAATGGATTACGAGTGGAAGGAGGGAATACCGATCCAAAGCGGTTAGATGGGTATGACGCAGTTGCCGCTTATTCAAGTTCCAGCGCCCTTGCTTGCCTTGTGACGAGACTTCCATGAACCTGCAACCTGCAACCAAGGCCTGCAAGACCGGACAAGATCTGTCGATTCCTTGCTTTGAATGGTCGCTCGGCTGCCAATCCACTAACACGTGTAAGCTGTATTTAAATTCTTCTGCCGCCCGCTTCCCATCATACCACTTCTCTCTCACATCTGACAAACTTCCAATTGCTCACCCACTATAGCTTCGCTCGACTCTGACCAGACAGCCTTCTCTTCATCCAAATCAATAACAGTCTCCGCGGCTTTGCACACTCAGTCTACACACGGTAGAACCCAAACTCAGTTACAATGGCTTTCACCGCAAGGTAGGAATCATTCTATAGCCATCGGTTTCCGCGGGTTTGCTCTCGGAACTTTCGGTGCTCTTGATGGCGCAAGTGCTGACTCAGGTTTTCAATTACAGCGACATCTGCAAGATCATCCTTGCCATCATCCTCCCGCCTCTAGGAGTTTTCCTTGAGCGTGGCTGCGGCGCCGACCTCCTCATTAACATTCTGCTCACGATCCTTGGGTAAGTACCCAGCAAACATAACACCGCCTCAGCGGAACGGAAGCTTACACTCAAACAATAGATACATCCCCGGCATCATCCATGCCCTTTACATCATTCTGAAGTATTAGGTACCACCAAATGATCGGAGCCCCCGCATGCAAAATGTGGTGATTTGGCAGGGCTTCATCGTAGGCATCTGTCAGATGGCCAAGGAGTGGGTGTCGGAAAAGACTCGTCGGTTCTAGAGGAATATGTCTTTTGCGGATTGGCGTGCAGCGAGACGTGCAGAGAGGGCCCTTGATGAGATTTTTGGTGATGCCGAAGCCAATGCTGCTGTTGCCCACCTCCAACCACAGCAAATCGAACTCGGGTCTAGCTCTGGACCTGAGGGCGCCTACGAGTGGGACGATGTAAACAACCCGCAGCAGCAGAAACAGTCTGTCGCTTCGGCTCCAGCGGATCAACAGCAACTGCCATTACAGGCAGAGGTCGTCTCAGCTGGACCTTCGTCGGCACCCACGGTGGTTGGCGAGGCTTCTCCCAAACTCGCATCACCTGTCAATGAGGCGGCACAACTCGACGCAGGGGGAAAATGAACCGGGTGGTCTTATTTCGGCGCTTTTCCAAGAGGTGGACTGGCATGTTGCGTGGTTTCGGCATATGACTATGTTTCCTTTGTTTGCGGACTGCTTTTCTCTGCTGGTTTTATCTGGGGGCATCCGAGAGGTCAAGGTTTCTTGGGACGGCTTATGTCGATGTCGACCAGCGGTCTGGCATTTAATTAATCAGCGATACCCAACTGCAAATACATCTTATTAACACTACTCGTTTACTTGTCTGACTACATGCCTCCTTGCTGCCTGTTCAGCGTTTGTCGAGCGTCTGTCACAATGTCTTCGCATTGATGTGCATGTACTCAGCAGCTGTCCTGATCGCCACTCCAACGTTGGACTAGCTCAATAATCTAGATGGACCTCGTGCGATGTTGCTCCAAAATATGAGGACCACAAGAGCAAGATTTCAACAGCAAATTACTTGACTTTACTGGCTAAGTG